CGCGCGGGTCGCCGGTGGCCTGAGCGTCGCCGCCAGGCCGGGGTCCGCGGGGCACCTGCGGCCCGGCGCGACTGGGGTCTCCAGCGCCTGGAATCTGGCGGCCTCTTTTTAGGCGTGGCGCGCGCGGGGTGTCGCTTTACCTCCTAGTACTCAGCGTCCGCATCTGAAACGGGGTGTGGTGGGGTGATTGCAGCTTTGGGAGCGAGAAGAGGGACTGAAGTGAGACCTTAGGAATGAAACAGTTGGAGGCTTTGCATGAAGTTAGCTCTCTGCAGATTACCTGCTAATATCAAGCATTGAATAATAGTGTAGCTAATGGCTAAGGTTGATGGAGCACTGGAAAAGATTACTGTTCTAAGTGCTTTGTATGCGTTGCCTCACTTAATTCTCATCATACTGTTCAGCAGAAACTGTTACCGCATTTTTACAGATGACAGGAAAGTACGGTGCTGAGGTGGCTTCCCCCAGGACCCACACAGCTCCTAAGTGGGGGCTGGACTCGAGCCTGCGCACTGTTCAGTCTGCGTGTAATCATTGCATGGACATTCCAGGGGCATGGAGTTCAATAAATTGATGCCACTTTCTTCAGGAGGTTTTTTTAAGATAAAATTTGCAAAACAAAAATTTCCATTTTAGCCATTTTAAAGTATGCAGCTAGTAAGCTTTAGTATAGTCACAGTGCTGTGCAAACATCACTACTAATTAATTCCCGAACAGTTCCATCATTGCTGTCCCCCAGAAAACCCCAGCGCCATCAACAGTCATCTCCTTCGCCCCTGCTGCTAGCATCTCTAATCCACTTTCTGCCTCTGTGGGTTTGCCTGTTGTGGCCGTTTTATGCAGGTGGAATCATAAAGTATGTGGCCTTCTACATCTAGCTTCGGCCTCTTAATATGTTTTCAAAGTCCACCCATGTTGTTTTTTGTTTTTGTTTTTTTGTGGAACCGGGAATTGAACTCAGATCCTTGCACTTGCCAGGGAAGCACTTATTCTACTGAGCCATCTCCCCGGCCCCAAGTCCACCCATGTTGTAGAAGGCATGAGCTCTCCTTTCTTTTGAGGACTGAATATTCATATATAAACATATATATATGTATAAAAACAAATATACACACATACATAAACAAACATTATATATGTTTTGTTTGTTCATTCATCTGCTGATTTGGGTGGTTTTACCTTGGTGAGTAAGGCTGCTCTGAATGTGGCTACACAAGTTTTAATATGAATAGCAATTTTGAGTTATCTTGGGTCTATGTCCAGGAATGCAGTGCTGTTACTGCGCAGAGAGACTTGAAACTCAGGTGTTGGGTCTTGGGTAAGAATCCTGCTTTCTAATTGCCACGCTGCTGCTCTTCTCACTCAGATCTCATTGTTAGTGTAATTGAATATCAGAACTGGCAACAGGAGGTAAGGAATTTAAAAAACATGATATACCAGTAATGACCTTGTTGTAGTGCTGATTTAAACGTTTGGATGCTTCTGAAGTCTTTTCTCCTCAAGAGTGAAATTTGAACTCTGAACACGAAGGCAGTATTTGATTCTGCGTATTACATCCTGTGTACAGGGCAGTGTGCCGGGCGCCGTGGGGTAATATTAAAGATGTGTGAGTGCTAGCATAATTCCATCACAAACATCAAGGATAATTAGGGATTGCCATCTAAAAAGCAAAACTATAAACCTTCTAGAAAATACTGTGGGAAAATGTCTTCACTACCTGAGGCTAAGGTATGGTTTCAAAAAGAAAACATAATGGGGCTGAGGAGATAGCTCAGTAAGGTCCTGAGTTCAATCCCCAGGACCTAAAAAAAAAAAAAAAAATATATATATATATATATATTGAACACACACCATAAAAGAGAAAGATCGGGCTGGTGAGATGGCTCAGTGGTCTAAAGCACCTACTTAGAACAAGCTTAGCAAAGCACAGGGACCGCGGTTCAATCCCCCAGCACCACATGCCAGCCAGCCCCGCCCCCTGGTGGGCTGAGCTGGCCACACACACACACACACACACACACAAATAAATAAAAATTAAAAAAAAAAAAAGATCTATATATTTGGCTGCAAGAAAATTAAGATTATTAGTTCATCATCTACCCTGAAAAGAAACACAAAAAAGATACAGAGGACTTACACCTTTAATACATGAAATGTTCTTGTAATTCTAAGAGGAAAAAGTCAATAGAAATATGCTGAGCTGTAAAAAGCTCAAGTCAACAACTTCTGACATTGCCAGTCTTATGGATAATCCACTACTGTTATGGACTACTGGACTATATCTGATTGTTTTGCTGAATTCACACACCTACAATATTTAAAAAGCAATAGAATACCCACCTCTGACAAAACTAAGCAAAAAAAGGGGATACAAATGAAGGACCATTTTGTATCTGTATATACAAAATAGAATAGATGTACAGCTACTTTCTCTTAGTTCAATGGGAAGAAAGAGTTGTACTAATAGTGTTTGGACAGGATAACATGTCTGCATCTTGTACTATGAATAATCACTAGGAAGACAACAATATGCAGTGTATTAATTATTGAAACTGTCCTATTAATCAGTTTTGAAAGTGTCTCATTGCTATTTGTTTCCCAATAAAATTAATAAAAAAGGAAAGAAGTCAATAGAAAAGGTAAAAAATGGAAATAGGCATTTCACAGGTTGGAAAACAGCATTAAATGACTTCAAAAGAATTTCAGCCCTATTAGAGAAACAGCAGAACTCAGATACTACTTCAGAGCTACCCTTTGGGCAAAGGTGGGCACTCAGGTGTTCCTACTACATTGAGCACACAGGTGAGTGGGTTTTGTTGTTTTGGAAAAGTGTTTGGCAAGGTGTCCTTAATACCTGAATGGCATATGGCCCAGCAGTTGCTCTTGAGCCATGTCCCTTCAAGAGCTCTGGGGCTCCAAAGGAGATGGGGACCGGAATGTGGATTACAGCACCATTCATGGAATCAGCAAAACAATCCACATTCCTGTGTGAGTTGTGGGGTGAGCTAAGAGGAGACAAGGGTGCAGGTCAGGCCAGAAGCTGCACCTTGTGGGTGGGTCTCTAGCACACACTGTGCAGGAAGCACGCCACCATGGACACCTGTGGCAGCGCCAAACAGTGGGTGTGGCTTAGAATATGAGCACTTGGGGGTGCACTTGGTATCAAAAAGCCAGGGAATGATTGGCTCAGAGTCTAGGAGAGTACTATGGAAGGGGGCGTAACCAGCCAGGAAGTTGTTGGGGCTCCTAAGAGGATGGTTTTTAAGTAGGCTGATGGATGAGCAAGCTTGTTTTATTTTTCTTTGGACTGTGCATTATGTCTTGTACACTTGGATATATTTTTAAACTTTTTGGAATTACAGAAAAATTAGCTTTAGAGAGTTCCTGCCCTCAAGAGCCCTGAATGTTGGTTGGAAGACTAAGATAAAAATAAATTAAACACTTGGATAGCGCTGCGTGGTATGGTAGTGCACACCAGGAATCCCAGGACTTGAGAGGCTGGGATGAGAGGACTGCAGCAAGTTCGAGGCCAACCGGGGCTGCATCAGGAGTTGAAGGCCAGCTAGAAGGAACTACCTAGTGAGACCCTATCTTCAAAACAAACAACACAACTCAAAACATTCAGATATGGACAGCGTAGTGTGGGGTACAAGAGGTACTCAGATGGGGGAGAAGCTGGTCCCCAAGGCTGTCAAGCTGGAGGGTACCCGTCAGCAAATGCTGGGTTGACTCTAAGAGAAGGGATGGGCCCCAGCTAGAAGAATTTGAAGTACCAAGTGCAAGAAGACAGATTCTGATTCTGAAAATGCAAGACTTTCGGGAAAATATTTTCAGTGAAAACTTACTTTCATCCCCTGGAGTTTGACACATATGTGGAGCGTTGTGGCTGAAGACTTCAGTGTTAACTATTGCTGTGTGTCCAGAACACTTAATGTATCCTGCTAGTACCTGTGAGGTAGACAGTACTGTGACTAGGAGTGACCTTGCTGTACATGAGCTCCTCAGCTGCACCCTATCGGGGAGTCTCTGGAGAGGATGACAACTGTGGCAGGCTCTTCCGCTCAGGTCTTCATTGTCTTGAAAGCCAACTGCCAGTTCTTTGTCTCCTCACTCCACCTTTATCACGTGCTGTGGCATATTACCATACAATGAAGACAAATTTGTTAAGTTCTGAAGATTAGTGGTCTGAGGTCTGTCTGTAGTACTAAAGCCCTAGGGCATCTGCTTCTGAAGACTCAGGAGAGCATCCTTGGCCTTACCTGGGCCACTTGCCACCCACCAGCGGCCATCCACAGTCCTGGAAGGGTGACCCTGTCTCCTTCAAACCCAGCAGGTGCGCACCGTCACCTGTGCACTCTTGGGCCCCCACTTCTGGGTGCTGTCACTTTCTCCGTGTATGGTCAGCCGGCCCTCCTCTTAGGACACACAGGCTTACCCAGGTCTGCTGGAGCAGTTCAGGATCACTCCCCATCTTGGTCCCAAAGCACCTACTGAGGCCTGCTGCCATCTAAGGAGCGTATTTTCGGGGTGTGAGGATCAGGACGTAGCTGTCTGGAAAGCGCTGCTCAGCTTCCTTCCCTGCTTGCGTTTGGTGCTTACTTTGAGTTCTTTAAACAGATCTTGTCCATCTCCGGAGAGGTGGGCGCGGCCCTGATCCCAGCTGCGTGGGAGGCCGAGGGAGGAGAATTGGAAGTGCAAGACCAGCCAGGAGAATTTGGTGAGTCCCTGCTTAAAAAATGAAAGAGGGGCGGTGGCTGTGGCCCAGCATGTGCAAGGCCCTAGGCTCAACCCGCAGCACCAGGAGAAAATCGGAAGGCAAGGCGAGAAGCATCGTGACTAGCCTGTTCTGTGCTCTTCTAGCATATTCTTAGGTCTAAGACTTTTCTTCTGCAACTCTTGAGTCCCACAGATTTTTCTTCTTGGTTTGGTTGTCCCTGGGGATGCTCATTCAGGGCTGCTATGCTGTGGACCAGGATATGGTAAGATGGTTGTAGCAGCTCTGGAGGTGACTTTGCTCCTTAAAGTGTTACGGTGTTGTTTTTAATGTTCTGTATTTGGTACAGAGTCTCACTATGCGGCTTGGACTTGTAGTGGTACTCCTGTTGTTTGCCTCCCCAGCGCTGGGACTGTATGCATGCACCACTGTGCCTGGTCTGGGTGGCCAGCTCAGCATGCCTGGGGCAGGGGTGGGGGGCGCATGGCATGTGATGCCAGGGATTGAACGCCGGTCACTGTGCTTGCCTAAGCAGGCGCTTACTCCGCTGAGCTGCCTCGCGGCTTCCTTGAAGTCTTCTCCATAATTTCCATGACACTTCGGTGCGTGTTTCCTTTCAGTGCTTTTCTTTCTGGTACTGGGCAGCTAGCCGAGGGCCTTCACACTGAGCAGCATCTCCAAGCCTTTTCTCTTTTAAGTCAGGGTCTCACCGTGTTGCAGGCTGGACGTGTGCCTGTGTTTGTCCTGCCTCAGCTCCCAGAATGCTGCGATCACAGGCTTGTGTCACTATACTTGGCTCCTTTAGTGTTTTTAATGAGTATTGTTTTGTGGAAGTAGAAAATGCTTAAAGACAGCAAATTATTTTTCCTACTTTGGGGATAATTCTATTTTGTTCTGTTTACAGTTTTTGTTGTTTTTTTTTTTCTGGAGAGACAAGAAAATCTTTCTAAAAATCTAATAAAATTTATTTTTTCCACTTTTATTGCAGTCTAACTGCAGTGTAACAAAGTTGCCTCTATTTAAGGTGTACACCGGGACATGGTGATTTAAATATATATACATTGTTGGATGAGCTCCAAGTGAAGTGAAAGTGTCTAGTTATGACTCCTGGGAGCCCAGGACACTTCATGCGCCCTGCCAGTGCATGTGAGGTAGGCAGGACAGTAGTGACTAGTCACCTTGCTGTACACGAGCCCTCCAGGATTTATACCTCAGGTCTGTACCCTTTGACCAAATTCTCCCAGTTTCCTTCGCCTCTAATCTGCCACCACCGTCCAGCTACTTTTAAGAAAACAAAACTATATAAGCATACAAGTGAGTTATACAGGATCAGGATTTTACTGTCCGTTGGTGTTGCTGAGTTTCTGTCATTTATAGTCCCGCTCTTTGCACTGCTGTGACAATGCTGTAACTGTGGGTTGCCTGGAAACAATGTTTATTTCTCAATGTTCAAGAAATGCAGAAGGAGGGCGCTAGCAGGTGTGGTGTCTGGTGAGAGCCTGCTCTTCCTCATGGTGCCTTCTGGCTCGTCCTCAACCTGGGCAGAGCCCTGGTGACCTTGTCACTTGCCCCCCGGGGTCAGGGTCCAACACATGAACTGGGGAGGGAAGGACAGGAATGTTGTGACCTCAGCATACACTGATTCCTTTCATTGCTTCCCAGGTAAGTGAGTGCCATTCAGTGTCTGTGTGTACCTTGATAGGTTTCTCCCTCAGCTGTGTGATAACTCCCTTAAAACTGTCTCGGTGCAGGACTGTAAGCTTTTGGAATTTAATGGCTTTGAGGGAAGGGCAGATTTTTTTCTTTCACTGGACACTATTTTCCATCCTGTGCACCAGAGCAGGGAGAGGATTGGGAGGATGAAGCGGGTGGATAACTTCCTGTAATTTCCCATTAATGGTCCTTGGGGATTTGACCACACCTCGGGACACATTGGGAGGAGAAAGAGCTGCAGAGCCTTGGGCTCTAGTGCAGCCTCTGCCCAGCTGCACCAGCTCAGGGTCCGCCCTCCTGCCTCCCGGCTACCAGTCACCTTTGGGGACAGCCTGATCGTTCCTTTCCTTTGTGCCCAGGGAGTAAATCCAGACACTTCCCCTTGGCTTGTGAGCATCACACAGCCTGGCCTCGCCCAGTGCCAAGCTGCTGTGTACACTCCTCACACATGGCTTTCATCCATACTGAGTAGGCAGGCCTGAAGCAGTGCTGAGCCCTGTCAGCCCTCAGGACCCCTTCA